TGAGATCAATCTGATTTTAACCAATTTTTAAAAGCAAATACTTCCGATTGACGCATAAAATCGCAAAAGTTCTTTTGCAGGATCTAAGTTACGTGTCCAAAGGATGAGAAAATGTTAACCAACCAGAGGGAGATTCCCCTAGTCATTGAGCAAAGTTTATCTAAAGTTGAAAACTTAAATACTGTTTTACTTCTTATGGAACAGTTCCTCTTTGGTCGAATTAACCTCCGCTTCAAACCCATAGCTACACGGAGAAAAAAACCTCGTGCGTGGGACCCGAAGTTTAGGTCATATGGATCTCTGAAGTTTTCGGATTGAGCATCTGAACACTATAAGTCTAGCTGTCGAGGTTCGGATCACACATCTGGAACTTCAGTTCTTACGTCTGAAGTATACTTTAGATGTGAGAACCGGAGTCTTTTGGATGTGAAAACCGAAGTACTTCAGATGTAAGAACTGAAGTTTCAGATGTGTGATCCGAACCTCGACAGCTAGACTTAGAGTGTTCAGATGCTCAATCCGAAAACTCCAGAGATCCATATGACCTAAACTTCGGGTCCCACGTACGAATTTTTTTCTCCGTGTAAACGGGTTTTTTGGGGGAAGGGGGGAGTACCTTCGTGTCACAAAAATTGTCCTGATCACGAATTTGGTAAGAACAATTGGACCGAGTTAAGCAGAAAGGAACCAAGCCCTATCAGCTATTGCCAAGTTTAACGAGGCGCTTAAATTTTTTACGAGAAAACGTTTGTTCGGTTTCCTTTGAAAACTTCAAGGAATTTGATTCGTACCATGGAGAATTTTCTATGAAATTTGCACGAAAATCCGCACAACCGTTTTCATGTAAAAAATTAAATTGCCCAATTAAATTTCGCAATAGCTGATGTGGCTTGGTTCCTTTCTGTTTAACGCGGTCCAATTGGAAAAATTCGAAAGGGAATTTTTGATTTGTGTGTGCGGGATTCCGCTCCGAGCGGGAGGGCGGCTCCACGAGCGTCGATGAGGAGCGCGCTCATTCGACGAGCCGGGCGGCGGATTTGACTCGAGAACACCCCGTATTAATTTGACTTGTTTTAATTAAGAAAATGACTGTCGCCTCGCCTCGGTCGCCTTTCGGCTCCGCGCCTTCATGATAGGGTACGTGCGCCAACTTTAGATTTCTTTTCAAAGAAAACACAAACAGAAAATAAGGCGCCAAGTTTAGTTGTAAAGGATCTTATCGCTCCTCGGAGCAACCTCCCAACTTTTCGCCTGTATGAAGCATACAAATAAAAACATTACCGTCAAACAAACTTGCTATCGCTTTCATCCTTCCCCGCCCCGTTTCCGCGTCTTGTCGAGTATCTTCGGTCGTCGCCTCGTTTTTTTGTGCTTTCGTCTCGACCCCCTCAACTTTTTAACACCCCCTTAGCAAGTGTTGTTTTATTAAGTGTTAAATTTTAAACGTAATCGCGTGCGGTTGTGATGAATAGAGAGCTACTGTTAATCAAAACCTTCGTTTTACCAATTGCTCAAATACGGCTTTTGATCATTAAGGCTCATCTTGCGCGTTTGTCCGTGTTACGTTACACAGGCTACCTTTTAAGGGCAAATGCTCATTCACAAATATTTTGTTCAGACTTAAGAAAAATATTTACTCTTAGAGTACGCCATTAATTCTACCCTAATAGGCTCGACGAAGCAACTGTAAAACATAGCCGACCAATCACGCTCCGCCGTCTTGCCTCTGTCATAAATGTCTGTCCGACGAACGCAAATTTTCAACAGTCGGCCTGCAGGGCCGTTTCTAAAGTATTTTAATTCAGTCAGAGCGGACTGATCGTTGAAATTGACGAACAAAGTTGTTGACAAAGAAGACGAAGGGGATACGGAGGGACCCTATTGGTGGAAGCGGGTGGCTGCAATGGACAAAGGAGGTAGGTTAACTAACGACAACCCACATTTTCTCCCTTAGGCTATAGGAACCACCCATTCCAAGCAATAGGATCGCTCAATACTCCCTACGTCTTTTTTGTGTTTAGCTTTGTCTAGCATTGTCAACAAATATCTCGCAGACTAGGTTAAGAACCAAAACACCGTATGAAGAAGGCTTTCCTTTTTACTCAACGACAATTCTCATCTGGGTATTACTAATTGGCATAGAGAAAAAAAAGGAGGTGTTTGCATCTTGAGGTTTGTTCACCCTGTGGCGTAGGTCGGTACAACCTGGCCAGCGAAATCCGGAATTCGAAATATGAAAAACGGACCACAATGTCCGATTTTTTCACTTAAATCAACCCATTATATAATTTCAAGCACTTTTTACAGAATTATTTTTTTTTTTTTTAATTACACCATTTCCAAGAAAATCGCAGGATAAACGTTGCTGTATCGACCTACGTCATCAAATCATCAAACAAATTCCAAGATGCCCGAAATGCAAACACCTCCTTTCTTTTCTCTATGACTAATTGGAATGTTTATCGATCCAAGAGAAAATTTTCGCCGTCACAATGCCCGACGGAGCTGACAAACGAAAGTTCACGGCTCGCCAGTATCGAGGATTCGGAAACCAATAAAAAATGGGAGCAAAAAAATAATAGGATTCGAGGGCGAGCCTCCTGGAAGCCCCGTTTTCAATCGTATGCTTCCCTCTTGTTGTTTTAATCTTGAGGGTGTAGTAAGGCGCGCGGACGGCGGTGTGAAACAAAATGATTCTCGCTCCCGGGAGACAAGTTTCGTCCGCGTCGCCGTCAGATCGCGCTCGGATCGCTCCTCGGGATCCTTTCGAACGTCGAGTTTCTCGCACGATTTTCCCGCGGGGCCGCCACGCTCGTTTTTCTATTTTCCGAGCTGTCGATGAGCGCCGAGAGCGGAATGCATGCCGGAAAATGCACCGTCGGGAATATCCTCACAGCAAATCTCGACCGAAGGGTGGCGTTGATTTCAATTCGATGGTAACACGTATCGCAACTTTCTCAACAATTTCCGCCTTCGCTTTGCGGCACTGAAATACTCAAGATCCGCGCACGAGCGCGTGGTTTCTGGGTGTCTTGAAACCTGGAGAATCAGAAAATTCGCGGCGATCTGGGAAATTCTTGAGAAGAGTCAGGGAATTGGGCGAGTCCCGCGTCGGCGTGGCAAATTGAGCCGGTGGCTTTCAACACAGCGCGCATAATTTCCGGGTGCCTTTCTGAAATTGTATTTATTTATTCTACACAATGTACAAAAAAGCACTATTATTGGGGCTATGGCACCTATCAAAGTACAACAAAAATCGTACAACCATATAGGATTTGTTTCTATAAGGAATTATTATTAGTAACTAATCATTTCAATCAGGAATTATTAACTTTAAACTGTTAAATGTAACTTTAAACAGTAGCTATATTGCAAGAAAGTTATTCATCAGCTGTCGTTAGAAATTCTTGAATAAGTATCATATAGAATGCCTTTGCTGAAAAGAAAGTTCGAACTAAGGTGGAGAGCATATTTATTTCACCATGGGTTGGGAAACTTGAGTCGGTGGCTTCCATGAGAGCGCGAATAACTTCCGGGTGCGTTTTTTGCAAGTTGAATAGCAATGGAAAGTTTGTCCAAACGGTTATTACCTCATTCATGTCTCACTCCTTCTCGAGTTGTACAGCCTAAAATTGATCGTCAGTGCCGGAATAATCGATCAAACAGGAGTCTTGAATGCATTTTAGGCCACGTCCACTAGCCTGGATTTCCGTATTTCGGAAATTTGAGTTCAAAATTGAGTTTCACGGCATAAAATACCATAGAACCAACTCTCACTAAAATCGATTAGAAGCCGCATATCGTAGTATCAGTGAACTTCACACAGTGATTATTGTGCCACTCTATTTCCATACGTTAAAGAGCCTTCATTTTCGTCTGATACTGTGCAATACTTCCGTGGTGGAATAGTTGCTCGGATCGCCTTCGACAGTATCGCTTCGTCTTGATGGCGAAAAATCACGATTACTGTTAATATTCTACTCAAGCGCGTGCCGAGTTACACATTTTCTCATCACCAACGGTGAGGTCTAAAACACTCGAACCTCAATTTACGACGCTGCTAATTTTTTTCTGTTTTTTTTTTTTTTTTTTTTTTTTTTTTTTTTTCTTTTTTTTTCTAAGTGGGTAAACCGATATGGACTATCTAAAAATATCTGGACCCAAGACCAAAGCCCGATTCACACTACCAAACCCTTCATCCAACTCTTGGATGCAACTTGTCGAACGAAAAGCTTGATGGTATGATACTGACGAGCGAAAAATTGCATACAGAAACTTGAATGTGACGTCACTTTCAACTTTGGCGGCGCCACTTGAATGGATAGTTGAACGATAAGTTGGAACGAAATCTTCCGACCGACATGAGCCGAAGCTGTATCCTCGCACACCGCAAGCTGATGACGATATCACACTGCAACGATAATTGAATCAAATCGTTTTGCGTCCAACGTTCCATCCAACTTTTCGTTCAATGGAGAATTTGCACGCAATTTTTTTATTGCTTCATCTGAAAGTGCCTAATGAGCTGAGTTCGCAATATTTTTCATAATTTTTTTCTGACACGGGAAATTGGAGAAAAATTGATTTAAAAGTGAGAAAATGTGCCGCCTTGTGACGTCATCTGGCGGCATTTCCCATTTAAACACATGTATTTTAGCAGAATCGGTTATTTTGTCATATCTCCTCTAATAATTGCTCGATTTATGAATCAAGGGTATCTTCGTGTTCAGTTCACTCAGAGGATTCCACTTAAACAGGAAATTCATCAAATTTCAGACCCTTGCAAATTCTCCATTATGTCGAATGAAATGTTTGACAGTCTGAATTATGGGCTTAAGACTTATAAAAGACTACCTAACACTTAACGATTTAAAATGATTGTGGTCTCCTTTATTAATAGACTGTATTTTTTATGTGTAGCAACATCGGGGAAATTGTCTTTCGTAATACCAACTGACTTGAATCGAGCTCTAACCCGTTGGAATGTGTTTCTGTTTCAGCGCACGGCTTGGAGCCGGAGTTCTCTGTCTCACCCAAGGACGTCCGAGTGCCGCAAGGTCGAGACGCCATTTTCACGTGCGTGGTCAAAGACCTGGGCGGTTATAGGGTGAGTGCCAACATCGCGCCGGCCAGGGTAACTAAAATCATGACGTCATTTCAACCCCCCGCACTGAGCACTTCAGCCCCTAGTGACGTCAGAGATTTGCCTTTTCGGTTCGACCCCTTACTATGCAGCATTTAATTGCAGTACCACCTTAGTGTTGAAAGCTATACTGAGTATGCAATGCTTGCTCTGATTGGAAGGAAATAAATACGCGACTTAAACGAGGGATATATTTTAATTTTGTGTTAAATTTGATTAATACGTTAAATTTTGGGAGCATGCAGACGTTTCTCCTTCGTTATTCCTTTTTCTCGGATGCAGGGAGAAGAAGGGTAGATGCGTCACGGGCAATTTATTCGACGATTGCAAACTTCAACGAGTATTTGAAAAATTAAATTCTTCTATAAAAGAGCATTGATCTAATCGGAGTTTAAAAAATGAAGGTACTCTACAATTTTAAGGATAGCACAGGGAATCTGTCGCTAAAATTACAGCACGTAAATCGAAACCGAATTGATAATTCTCTCTAACGTCACTGTAGTCTGCACTATTGCACTCGAACTGTAAGTAGATGATCTCTTCGCACCAAACCACACTCCTGTAGTTTTTAGCTTGCACGACGATTCACTCAGTTATTTTTACTCATTAGAAAGTGGAAGCTATATCCTTTACATTTATATAATATGCCAAAACTAAGTATAGACATGAGGTGTCTCTTTGTGAATTTCCCCCCCCCCCCCAAAAAAAAAAATTGCATGACTAAAAACCAGTTTGAAGCACATTCTGTTTTACTTCAACGTTGAGCAGAACTAACTTTCAAATTGCTCGACCTTCCTCACAAACCCTTCTTAGATCATAATAATGTATTCATGGTGAAGCGTTCCTGGGGGATGTCTACAAATTCTAACCGGGTTAACAATCTGCGATTTCTCATCAGATTTTGAAGAATCCTTCATTTTTTTCGACCTTACGCACATGCACTTTGCGCTGATGTACGTATTTTCACGTGCAATGGAACTTTAAGTTTATAATCCTTGGCCAACTTTTGAAAGTATTGTATTTAAGGGATACGTAGATGAGGTGCAATGCGAGAGAGATATTTTTCTTTTCTTTTCTTACTCATTGTCAGTTTTGAAGATGAATTGTAGTAAATGTGACAATGATCATTTCAGGAGCAACCTCGTCTTCAACCAAATGACCATTGTCACCTAAATTTCAATTCATAAGTAAACTGGGTTAAAAAGAAGTGAATAGTTGCCAACAAAAGACTAATTATTAATCCTGGTCCGAATGATTCAAGACGAAATCGCCGGTACAGTTTTTGTTGTAGGAGGATGATATATCGTTACTAGAGAAAGTTATGAACCTCAATATTTCAAATACAGTTTTCATTTCCCAATAGTTTTTCGAGCTAATTTCGTCAATCATTATAGACGTAACTGTTTTTACGGAGTGCTGATAGCGCAGTATTTTTCTTTACAGGTTTTGATTTCCAAAGAAATACCTTCTAACCTTATACCTTTAAATACCTTCTGCCAATATGAATCTCAGCGTATCTATACTATAAGCTCCCAGACCTTTTCTTCCAGCAAGAGAGATTCTGAGAGTCAATGAAAAAGAAACTGCAATTTTTTTCCATAGACACTCAAAATCTCTCGAGAGTTGGGGAATATTTAAACCACCCGTTGAATTTTGAACGATCTTAACCACAAACAGCCAGTGAAGAAATCCAAGGGATGTTTCCTCTTGCAAATTTTTTATCGTGTGACTGGCAATGTGGCTTTTATCACCCCCAACCACGATTAAATTAAACATGTGAATCCCTCGCAAATCACGTTTCAAACAATTTGAAATGTAATACAGAAGTATATCATACATAATGTTCTAGGATTCAAAATTGTGAATCACATAAGATTTACAATTTCGAAAACACGAACACATTCAATCACTTCCGCGATAGTATGTAAGTGAGCGTCATAGCATATTCACGATCGCCTGAATATCACAACTGAAAACCAATTAGGGTCCCGATTTGGGGGAACGAACAGCTTGTTGCGCGCGAAAAACACAGGAGCAAAAGTTTGCGAGGGTATTAAAGTCTGGAGAAGGACTTAAAGCCGCGAGCTTACGAGGTGGGTGGTGCTCGAAAATTTCCGGGACTAAATTGTTATCGCCTCTCGATCTCTCATCCGGCGCACGGGACCACCGGAAATGTGACGTTTTTCTGGAGTAAACGCGCATGAATTTTGGCTCAATTTGCATAATTGGAAATTATAAAGGACTGCGGAATCTAGTTTGATTTAATTCATTAATGTATTCGACAACTGCTGAACTTCGGCTCGATAGATTTGAATAATTCCGGGAGGGGGGCGCGGAAGTGGGAGGAGCGGCAGGTAATAGGGCTCAACTTTTAAGAGCCAGTCAAGCAGGGAATTGGACGTAAGAACATCAGATGAGGCAGTGAATCTTAGTGCCGCTCCAGTGGAGATAATGCTCTTCTTAAAGTAGCTACTCTCAGCAACCGTTATTATGTTCCCCTGAAAATATTTGCGCTTTTCAGCCTTTCCTCCCTCCGGAAGGATTTCTTTTCTCCTGACTTGTCGTGGTTTCCCAAGCAAATGGGGTTTTTGAGGATTTGTCTACTACCTCCGCTTGCTGAAAGTTTTCCGAACGGAAATTTTGCACGGAATTTCGGAGCTGCGTGATCTTTGTTCCCCGAAGCGATGGTCTCTTGCGTTGTCACTCGCCTCTGACTTTTTCTTGACTCCGGAGATCAGCAACAGAAATGATGCTAAATTTGAAACAATTAGTGAAATCAATTTTAAACAACTCGCTACATAAAGTGGTGAGTTTTTTTTTAAAAATTTTATTTATTATTTAAAAAATGGCAATATAAGATTTTGGTTCAAGATTAAGCGGCATTTCTGTAATTATTAACAATATTTTTGAGAATAAATTTTGGAATCGATAGAATTTTGGGACTTGACTTCAAAGATTTCTGAGCCTACAATCCTTTTCATTCCAACTTGTGTCCTGAAAGTTAGGTTTGTGTTTTAACATAGAGCGAGACCTTTTCATAGGCAGTTCACTATTCTACGCACTGTCAAGCCGGGTTATTCAAAATCGGCAATTTAGCAACCGTCAAGGATTTTGCCCGTAGTTGGATATGTTGTTACCTACCACTAGACACGCTTTTTTCCGGTAATGCAAGATCATACAAAATATTCCACGCGCGCCTCAGCGCTGCTCTGTTGAAAACTAGACAATTCCGTAGGTGGCATTACAATTGAGCTCAAAAGTCGCGGTTTGGACAAGGATTGTCTCTATATTGCCCAATGATTTGTTCATTTTTGAATGTCTAATTAATTTTAACATGCAATGTTGCCATTTTTTAAATTCGTCACTTTTTACAAATCGTGTCTAGTCGATAGTTCGTTTCATTCCGCATCCATGTATAGATATATTATACCTTGCATGAAAATTTTTCGTTTCGTCTAGTCTTCGACCCTCCATATTTGAAGCTGCTCAAAACCAGATTCGTCCAACCTTCTGAACATTTTGGACTTTCGTGTTCGTGTAAGACTGTCTCCACCTCTACGATTTTCTGCATGGTGTTTTGCACCTTAATATTCAACAGAATCTTGAAGGCTACAACTTCATCGGCTTCGTTGAAGAATCTTCTCTCAAAGTAGGCATTATAGAGAACGGGAGCGACTCAATAATCCTGCAACAAATGAGGGATCTTTGGATGTGTAATAACTCATCGGAAATACTTGAATCTCTCGAGACTGCTGTTTACAACCTCAATGATCCATCTCTGTTTCGTAGTTGTGAGTCTCCTAAGGCATGGAAACCTTATAACTCTGGCTTGACTGGCTCAAATCTTCGGTCAAGACCCAATACGTCCTCAGATTTGAAAAATTCGCTCATTACAGGCAGTTTTAAAAGTTTTCTCAAATTGTATCGGCATATGACGCCGTAGCGTTTTTAAGTTTCTACAGTCCTTCGCAGTGCAAGCTTTCATTGGTTCTAAAAGATTTATTTTCTTCTAACGCCGTTGGAGAAGAAAATTAGAACTTTTATTTAGGTAAAGATAAGTTCCATCCCAGACAGTGATGGCTTTGCCCTCGCTGAATTCTTAATAAGTCTTAGATCTAAATATTTACTTATACACACTGAACAGATTAATAAATACTGACTTATTGAATCATTTTACATTTTAGTTAAAAAATTAGAAGTTATATTACGTACATACAAAAAGGTTTGAAGTATATGAAATCAATTTGTATTAAATTGTTATTTAAAATATTCCCAATAATGTTTTTTGTCGCTGGCGCTTTTCTATTGGGAGCTAGAATGAAAGAAAACAAAATACAGAACAGAGTTACACATAATGCGAATGAATAGGTTTCCAGCTACATTCATTTACGGTACAAGAATCAATTTTTTTTTGAAAACGAAAGTGAAGATTAGTCTAATCAGTTGCAGGGATATGTATCAATCTAATTCCAATTGCGGTAGACAAAGACGGTTGGCAGCGGGACCGCACCGATGTGCCTAATGATTAGCGTAAGGAATCTGCTTACTGTCACCTATTAAAAGAGCTGACGACGCGTCGGACTTCATTATCGAAAACATTATCTGACCCGCGTGTAACATTAGAGACTCGTCGGCTTGTATTTTGAACCGTTAATAATGAATGAATCCATGGTTTTAAATCGTTGGTTGAGATCATCATCACTATAATTTTATCGTTAACTTGTTTATAACGCTTTCTATAGTCCTGGGCGGAGTCTCTTGTGGGGAACAAAACCATGTCAGAATCGTTTAACGCATTTAAAATTAAGTGCGTCTTTCCGCATCCAGGCACTCCCTCGATGGATCGTGGGCATCACAAATTTGTTAGTTTTAATATTCTCCACACCCAAATACAGCTTGTCGCAATTCATCAGCTCAGTGGACGTATCAACCAAAAGGTAGTTGCTAGCGGCGTTTTCAGGTTTATTCAAACTAGGGGCTTATGGGGCTGC